CCACCTCCAACAGCCGGTTTAGCCCACACGCCGTCTATCTCCTCACATTCTTCAGGACACAACCACAACCCGTCTTCTAGCCTGTCGTTTGCTCCTCCTCCTACCAGCGCACAAGCACCTGCAGCGGCTCCAGGCGCAGCACCGTACTCAGCGCCGCCACAGGACCCTAATGCTCATTTATTCAGACAGCAGAGTTTTGGGCCGCCTCCTGCATCACCACACAACCCAGCTCATCAGCATTACCAAGCCGGTTATGCAGATTACCACCCCGGTCAAACTCCCCAAGCTCCCCAGCCTCCAATTGGCGGATATGCAAACTATTCATACGGCCAGCCACAGCAACAGCAGCCGCCACCTGGCGGAAATGCGTATGATGTTCACCACCAGGTCTATCGACCAACAGAGGCTGAAGGCAATGCTCAATATGTGAAACAGAATCAAAGACAGTCTGGCATCGGGAAAGGCGTCGGCAAGTTTCTGAAAAAGCTTGAGAAATTTTAGCGTGTCTTCTGTCGCTATGAAAATGAAAAAGGCGGTTTGGACGATGTAGAAGTTTGCATGTCTGTTTCCCGGTTTCCCGATAAATGTACCACCGTTTCGCAGCGGCCCAATCAGCTGCTGAATGTGAATCGAATCGGAATTCTTTTTCCCCTTTCTGCACCCTACTCTACGCTATTCTATCTCGCTGCTGCTAATGAACCGTTTCGTTTGCTAGACGGATGAATTGGTAATTTGTATGAACCTTGTCAATTTATTTCGCCTCTCTTTTTGGTATATTTGTTCTTATGAATCAGTTTCTGGCATGGTCTTAACGAATTTGAATGATTAATACGTTACCCCGCATCGCCTTCACGCTTAATGCTAAGTTTTGTTTGTTATGTTCAGAATTCAAACGTGAATACCAACAACATCTTAGCTCATTGCTCATCAGGCATTCTCTAGGAAATTAAATCAATTTCCACCTGGCCAAAATGTTGGGATAATTGGTGATTGATCCCACGAGAACAGTATTTGTTTTTTTTATTCACACGGCCACAATTACTTGGTCATTCGTACTACAGTTCCCTTCTAAGGTCCAACCTTACTGTCAACTGGGAGAAAGCCCTCGAGCAGATACAAGTCTTTCCTCAGAAAATGTCACTCGTGGTGGAATGCTATCGCAGCGCAGGGCTTAGGCTCCGAACTGCGAAGAGATGTCAAAAAAGGATTAGGTTAGCCTGAACTTTCTTGCCGAGTACTTAAATTCCCCATTGCCTCCTTCATGCACATTACAGTTTAATGACATATGCTGCCAAACTCTCTGGTACTAATATAATTCTTTATAGTTACATCACAAAGACATCTAACTAGTCAATGTCAGACATCAGAAGTGCGCCGTGTGGTCTCCTACGACACATGAGGTTCGCAAGATCATTGATGGCCTTAGTGCTGTCAAAAAGGTAACTACATTCCCAGAACATATGTCAGGTTTACTGGGGTCATAAACCCATCTCTCCCATCTCACTCGTGGTTTTCCGTATTTTGGCTATGTATTTCCCTTACTTTCCTGGGAAGCTTCAATGGGCGATTGAAATTGGGCGATTCAAGATTATCATAAGGCAACATATATCATATATCCTACATTTATAAATGCTACGCATGCAGAGCACTCTTCTATTTTCAATCTCTCCTCAATCTACCAAATGACACTGAAACATTCTTGTTGGATAAATCCCTTATTCCTAAATTCTTAGGCCTTAGAGCACGACAGATGTTGGGTGGTATAAACCTCTCTCGCATAATTTTAAATTTAGAGTATCGCCATTTTGAGTCACGGAGTATATAAATGCTTAAATCTGTCAATTTATCCAATTTAATTACTGATTACTCCGTATTGAGTTTTTACATGATTTGAGAGAGTACCTAGTGAATAACCCAGTAATCACTCAGGGGAGTTGAAACTGAGTGCGCCTCTGCTCCGCATGATGAGAAATATGCCGGCTGTCCTGCTAGTCTTCAGAGCGCGTTTGACTAGTAGCTACATAGTTGGTATCAACGCAGTAACTTAACTGGCCAATGTATGTATGTACTCTGTAATCCATGATCCTTGGCCCCCGTTTAGCTTCAAAACCGCGTATGGCAAAGATGATGTCAAACGGCCAGGAGAAAGCCCGTGGGGAAAGCTATTCACTCGTTGTTCGCCTTCTAGAACCGTGACATACTACCAGTCCAACTAATGCCACTGACCCACGCCTTCGCGATAGCTATCATAGGCGCATATATCAACCCGCTCACAATCACGAGTAGAAAACCTGTTGCTTACGGAGTACTATGTATGTACTCCATACTCCGTATTACTCAATCAAAACAAAACGAATAAGCCCCCTAGCTTCTTCTCCGGGACATCTACGAAGTAATATGCCGGACCCTCGCAGACACCAACTGGTTCCGGGGTGAGAGCAATCTAATAAAGTTTAACTGGACATGGATAAGGTACGGAGCAGAGAGCTGTGGGAAAACCGCTGGGCCAAAAGGATCAATCCCTGGGTGACCCAAAGGCCCTCAAGGATTAAGTCTGACACACCCCCTAAAATGGAGTGGTGCACGCGAAATTTTCACTCAATTTTCAAAGAAGACAATCTGATTGTATCTTCTGAGGAGATCATAATTTTTCTGTGTAATTCGGCACATACAGGAGGATTTGAACCTGTTGTCGGTCCTGAATATGCATGTTAACACAGCTAGCGGGCCAGAAGGATCAAGGTAGAGAAGAGCTCCAACCGCTCCGCCATAGTATGATAACCCAAAGACTCCCCCCATATTAGCACAAGTGGGGATAACCGATATTTCACGAACAAGGCCCAATATCGTACCCAAAAAGGAGTCAGCACTCGGAAGACATGTTCCCTGAGTGTACAGAGAACCCATGCGACTACAAGACGCGGCTCCTCCTGGAAAAAGGAGCAGCGTAGAGCTGCTGAGGGCACGCACTGGTTGCAGCTATCGCTGTGTTGTTTCCACTGTGGAGGTATGAAAGGAGCAGCCTCATCCAGCAAGACATACCGGCAAGGCGTACCGGGTTTGCTGCTTTCTTTTACTCCCCTTTTATCTTAGTTTTCCTCTGCTAGAGAAATTTTTGACATATACATTTCAATTCTTGAAGAGCGACCCTGATCTGACCACTCCAACATGAAGCTGCCCCTACTCTGGCCCCCGGCTGTGGCTGTTCTGGCAATGCCCGAAAGGCCCCAATGGACCGAGAAGAATATGATGCAGATGCAACGTCTCATGGACGTGAAGCTCGCTGCTCGGGAGAAACCAATCAAAAATGGAGTCCTTGATGAAGGGGGATACAAGTTTATAAACAGGCCACCGTGTTGTGTTAATGGCAAGGCTGGCGAGTTCAGCTGCAACAAGGTCGATATGACTGCTTTCCTAGGCCATCAGGACATGTGGAGCGGGGCCGAGAAGGAAATGATATTTGGGGTACGTTTCAATGCATTCCTTTTTGAGTCATTTCCTATGATTTGTCCGCTGACTCTATATGTAGACTTGAATGCCGACGATGGTCTTGAGTTCTTTGTAATCGGACAGTCTGACGGCGCTGTATTTTGTCGAAGTTCTCAGGAATGGGCAGTTTATATACGATGATCTGTTGCCCGCGCAGACCATATCAAACATATGGCCCGACAGGAAGGTCATTGATGGCTATGTCTACATTGGCTCTGAGGCCCCGGGTCACGGTTTGCAAGTCTTTGATATGCGTAATGTACAACTACCCCCCCTTCTATCTCTCAGCGTAGCAAGAGACGCTACCATGTGCTTGAGAGTATATAGCCGGTCTAGGTGGAAGGTAGGCCAGGCACCTACATCATTAAAAAGATTTCACCACCTGTTTCAATGGATTTGGTAGCTGTCACAATGTCGTCGCACTCGAAGGATCGCTGATGAGAACACGGAATACCTGCTCTTGGACGACGAACTCGATGAGAAAGACGGCACCTACTCAGGAAAGGCGGGTCACACCCACCACTTTTACATCGTCAACATCGCCAACCTCGCCAAGCCGAAGTTGCCCGGCTACTATCAGCCATCCGTCAAGTCTATCGACCCATAACCAGTACGTCCTCGACGGCCTCACATATCAGTCCAATTATGGTTCCGGTTTGCGCATTGTGGATGTTTCCACCGTGGACCAAGATGGAAGTCGGCTTCTTTGATTGCCATCCGGAGGATGATGCTGTTGGTGGTCAAGTTGAGTTTTCTGGCTCGTGGAGTGTGCATCCTTATTTTCAAGAGTGGGACTATTGTGCTCAATAGCAGTGAGAAGGGATTTTTCGCTCTGAAATATTACCCCTAAGTAGAGCAGAGTGTATACGGAGTATAGATTATGTTGAAGCCATTGACTTTCGAGGTTTTTCATGGCTTGATCATGAGTCATTTTCTTTCCAGCGGGACTGTTTTTTTAACTTTTAGTTCCCTTTAATATGGTGGAAAAATACGGAGATGTTCATGCGATGAAAGACCTCAATGCACGCTGAATGTTTGCATTAAAGCTGCTAATGAAACACGGTAAATTTATCCCAATGACAGCTGTATTGGCCTGTCCCCGCTGAAAATCACCTATTTCGTGTGGCCTGGATTCGAAGAAAAGGGTAGAATCTTTTTTATTTCATTTTATTTTATTTTATTTTTCTTTTCTCCGTTTGCGAAATCTATCATGCTCGTTACTCCCGTAGTTCAAGAATATGTATTTCTACATCCTGAGCCTCACGACAAACAACACAATGAAAACACCACTGAGCCATTCAATAATATGTTATCAAATTCCGAGAAATCAATAGACAGTTTTACCAGTGTACCGGTCTTATTTGATATTGAGTTAAAGATTTCATTTTTGTATTGTTTATTTCACCCATAACACGGATTTGTTTTTGGTTAACATCCACTAGAGAGCAGAAAAATTGCCACATGCCCCGTTATAAAAAGTCCCCGAGGCCTGCCTCCGACAACCAACTCACGGGAAGATGGCCGAGTGGTTATGGCGCTACGTTCAGGTCTTGGCGCAAATCAGCTGATTTGGATCACGGGCTTCGTAGTAGGGCAACCTGCGTGGGTTCGAGTCCCACTCTTCTCAACATCTTATTTTTTCCGTTATTATTTATGGCAATTTTATTTTAGATTTTAATTGTTTTCCAGTTAAAATTTTTTAAATGTAATTTGTGTTTTTTATGTATCTTGATTTTTCGGATAAATAGAGCAACGGGTAGAGGAGGTGTCATTCTGGATATTTCGTCATTTGATAGGACATACCATACCGACGACGGATGCCCTTGGAAGCTTTATTTTAAGCTCACCCCTGATTTTTGCATTCTAAAAAAACCTGTGCACCTCGCATTTCTCTTCCTTTACAAATTCAAAATCGAGATCGATAACTTAATATGTTTAATTCAAATTCATTTAAAAATTTTTCGCTCTCTTGGTATCTTAACTAACCATTTAACCAAAGCTGTACGAAGAACTAAATATGATATATCTAACATGGAACGAAAAAAAAAGAAAGGAAAAGAGGAAAATAAACAACGAACATTCTGCTAAGAGAAGAAAAAACCAATTTGAAATTAAAAATCATTTAAGAGGCTAAAGGTATAAAGTGTGTAATAAGTGCTATGAACACGGGGAATGAAGAGAAGATAGATAACATTGAAAAATTTCAAATTTTCAGTGAAGATAGATATGACAAATAAAAATAAGACAGAAGCTATAAAAAATGAGACAAGAATGAAAAAATAATCCGAATAGATAAAAAAAACACTATCATGTGCTGGTGTCTTCTCTCTCCCTACACCTCGTGCACACAAAAGAGTACTCACAAGCAAAGCTAGTTCGATTGATTGAGGAAGAATAAAATGAAATAAAAAGGGTTCAAATAAAGATACATGCTATGGAGAATGGAGATGTGCACTGTTCCGGAACCAAAGACAAAAACAGTTAAATAGTACTTCTAGCTCCCTTTCATTGTGTTCTTTAGCTAAGCAATGTCCGGCCAAGTCAAGGACAGCGAAGCAACGCAGGTATGCAGGTTGGGTCCAAACTGTCAGATAAAACAGGCAACTATAGAGGGTACTTAGATTCGTTGGGAGAAGTCCAGGCGCAAGTTCGGAGAAAATAAATTTGGCAAACAATAGCGTTAAAATAGATATATCAGCAATAAATGATTTAACGAAGTAAGTTCAGAATAGAATTGGCGCTTGGAAAGATGTATCATGTTCTTGTTGTCATGACCTATATAAAAGACGTTTGAAGGGCGCGTAAGTAAAAACCAGCAAGTAGAGCAAGTTTCAGTCTCAGTCCTTCGGGAGAAGTAGCTATCATAGCTCAACCTGTTCTGTGCCTTCGGTTAATGGAGCTTTCGTAGGATCCTCTTCGACGATGGATACTTCAGTTATTTCTGGTAAGGGAGCAAGGGAGAGTTCAGTTGTAGCAGGATTGGGAGCAATTGGTTCAGAAACGACTGGTTCGGGCTCATGTTCCGGTTCGGATAGGTGTACAGGGGCAGCTGGTTCGGCGGTAGCTGTTTCAATAAAGGCGGCTTCAGAGTGGGCAGGCTCAGGCTCAGTCACCGGCTCAGCTGCAGCTGGTTCTGGCTCCGCAATGGTTGGCTGCTCAGGCTCAGCTTCAGCTTCAGACTCCAGAGCTGGTTCAGGTTCGGGCTCCTGGGTCGCGATCTCAACCTCTGCAGCAGCAGTAGCCGTAACCTCAGTTTGGGCCTGAACCTGAGCCTGAGCACCATAAGGCTCCGGATGTTTACTAGGTTCTACATCCCCATTCGATGACAGTGCCTGCGAAGGCTTGACAACACTCTTCTTCGAAGAGGGCGGTGTACTCGCAGTCATGCTAACGTGACTACTTGTACTTTCCCCACTCTTCCTCCGTGCCTTTGGAGGACGAGAGCCCCTAGGCGGGCTCTTAATTTCAATCTTCTCATGCATCTTGCTCGCAGAACTTGCGGTAGGGCGCATCATTCTAGCCAGAAACGATTCGTCCGCTGGGCGTGTGCCGCCAATATTACTCACACGAGACCGGGGTCTTTCATGTGCTGTATTCTGCTGGGGAGCAAGGGAAGATGCTCTGGTGGACTGTTTTTGAGCTGTAGATGTTGCTGCTGGGCCTGTGGCTCTTGAGGAAGCGGTATTTCGATCACTTCTTAAACTGGAGGGTTTGCGGGTGAGATTTGACGTGCGAGTGCCCGCTTGGCTTGCTGGGCGGCCATCGAGGTTTAATTTTGCTGCAGAAGATGCGGTTGGTGCTATCATCGAATTTGGAAGACGGACAGGTCGTGTTGGAGACCTTGTGCGGGGTCTGTTATTGTTGGGAGGGTTCTCGGAAGGTGGCTTTGTGACTTTGTCACGAGTGGGGACCGACGATTGAGGTTTTGTTGTAGTTTTGCCTGCTGCTGCCCGAACGGGTTGTTTGGTCGTGGTAGCTCTAGGCCTGTCTGTCTCTTTGGGTGTTGGTTTGGCGCTGGGATTGACGGTTGTTGGTGTCCTGGGGGTTCGAGGGAGAGGTGATTTTTGGTCCTTTGTGGAAGACTTCTTGGATGTGGCGTTGGCATCATTCCCAACAACGATATTAGCTGGACGTATGGACGGATTCATAGATGACTTAAGTTTCTTGTTCGCCGTTTTATCTGTTGATTTTCCGTTCATACGAGTAGCAGCAATTGGTGCTATATCCTTTACCTGAGGCCTATCTTCTTGTGAGCCACCCTTGGATTCGATTTTGCGCGATTCCGGCTTCCCTTCCGTCGCAACAGAAGCTGCCATCAAAGTGTCTCCTGACGTAGATTGCTTGCCAGGCGTTGGGGAATCAGTAAGTCGCGTTGGTAGCTTTGCAGCCCAAGTTCTATTGATATTCCCACTGCCCAGGTGCGCGTCGTTGTTACGACTGGCATTGTTAGTATTAATATTATTATGATCAGGAGGTGAAGAAGCCAACGATCTGCCCAACATGGGCCCCTTATCAGCGCTATCATTGGAAGACATAGTCACGGACCTCTCTAGAGGACTGCCGACATCATCAACGCCGCCAGACATGGTTCTAGTAAGTTTACCTGGCGAGTTATTGGTGCTGCCGTTGCTGCCGTTGCTATTGTTGGTATTGTTGCTGTCCAGATCTGATGCCTTTCTCAACCCCCACATAGGAGCACTGCCGGACTGGCCGGTCCGCTCGACGGCCACGAAGCTTGCTCTGACTTTAGAGAGAGGGCGAACAGAACTGGGGCGGTCATGATCGATTGGCGAGCGGCCTCTGGATGGGGGAGAAGTTGATGCGTTGTTATTGTTGTTGTTCTCAAATCGGGCCAGCAGGCTCCGGACACCAGTCTGGGCCCGACTGTCCGACATGGTGGATGATCAGGAGGGATCAATCAATCAATCAATCAGGCAGTCGGTACAAGGGACCTGGCGGGGATTGGGTTGCTGGGCCGTCAGAGGAAATGAGGCATGAAGTGACGTGGTGTGGACGGGTCGAATTGTTTTATGTCTTGCAGAGAAGTAGTTGAGAGGAGACGGATAGATATAGAGGAATCGTAAAATACACGGAGGGAGGAATTTGTGAAACAGGCGAGGGATGCGAGGTTCAAGATGAGGATGAGGCCGAAAAAAAGGGGAGGAGCAGCCCCGAAACGCGTTATTATTATTTATTTAGGGGCCGGAGTATCTAGGTAACGTGATTGAGGGTAAACAACAAGCAGAAAAGAGAACCCACACCAGATAAGCAACTAGGTAGATATTTAGTTCACTTGAAGGGGGTAGTAAATATGAATAATTTTCAATGAGAATGATATATTTAGTTGAAGTAGGAGCACGAAATATAAGAAGATAAGAATTTAATAAGAAATTCGTTGGGCGATCGCCAACGGTGTTCTTTTCTTTTTGTTTTCTTTTTCCTTCTGCTATTTATGCCGCAGGCTGCTGCGCGCGGGCGTCAAGGAACACAACATGGATTGCAACAATACCATTTTAATATTAAGAAATAAGAATAAGGGGCTGCTGACGGACACATGGGGAAACGTGGCTCTAAGGTGCATCAAGTTACACTCTACGGAGTACGAAGTACAGCTAGATATAAATAATAACATCGTAACCTATAATTAATTTCGTCTGCTTTATCTAACTATAGAGTACGGAGTACTATGTATCAAAATTGAAATAAATAGCAGCAAATCAACACCTTTCCACATCTCGCAACAAGGACCGAAAGGTAAGACGAAAGAACTTATTATTTAGTCGTTCTTGTTGCACATCCCCAATGAGACCCTCCACCTCTACTCGGCCAGAATGTCCGGTTTGCGGCAAAAATTCTACTCCTCCAACCCCAGCTGCAGAGGTAGGAGGAGACACAAGGAGGAAAGAAGAAAGAAAGAAAAAAAAGAAAAAGTTACAATAAGAGACATCTGAGCACAATTGCATTCTCGAATAGCGGAGATTCATTGTCAATTATTTTGATACAGAGCCATATATCCATTTGCTTCCATATCAAAATACAAATGTCATGATCAATGTGCAAATATTCTTGCGCAAACAAGGCTATAAGCCAAACCTTTCGGCCTCTTTTCGATTGTGTTGATTTTGTATTCGTACATATAATCAGTGAGCTTGAAATATATCTCAAATTCTCCAAACAGCCGATGATACTTTGTGCTAGTGTCAACGCATTTTTGGGACTATATTTATGTATCCTTGCTTTTGATAAGATTGATAACATCCGGATCAACTATTTGCAGAATGTGATGTGCCACGTGTTTTGGCTCACTCAAATGACCAATATCAGAAAAGCATAGCAACTATCTGTTACAAGAGGGAGCATGCTAATTGTGAGCCTGCAGAAAAGACAGATGCGAGAGCGTGAGAAATTATGTGAGCGAATCATCGAAATATTCAAATTCAGCATTATTTAGATTCTTCAATAAATAGTTTCTCATCATCATCTTTGCTATTCTCAACCATGTCAAGCTGTTTCTCGACATCAACTCTATCAAACTTTCGCGACACTACACAGCAGTGACGGTCACGCAAAATGCATTCTTGTTGTAATTTTCGACACGCAACGCAGAACTGGTTCTAGCTTTCATCA